TAAGATTAATATAGTAATAAAAAAAGTTATAATTATTTAATTGTTTAATAATAATAATATTTTGAGAACATTCTATCCATACAAAATGTTCTCAAATAAGAGAACATTAATTTAAAGATTGATGTTCTTAAAATAATTTTAGTATTCACTGAAAACACTAAGAACATCAAATTTTAAACACTGCTTACAAGACTATAGTAAATACATTTGAGACTTAATTGATATTGTTGAAATATCAATTAAATCAGATTTTTTTCAAATAGTAATTTTAATTACTATTTGTCTAATATTGACTTAATTCAATAAATTAGATAAATCCAACATTTTGACACATTAATTTTACTAAATACGGGTAAGGATTGACACTAGTCTACAGTGAGGCTTCTAATTATACATATTTGTACTATAAACAGGCTTAACAAGAATTCTACAAGCTAAAAATAAGACATCGTACCACATCAGAGTGCAGTATTTCCAGAGTGTCAAATCAGCCCTTTACACTGGTCTACACCTTCTCAGTATGCAGGTTATATCCGGATATCGATTTAACAATCTGAATTTAAATCTGAAGCTAAAGATCACTAATTAAATAAATTCGGATTTAAAAAATAAATTCAGTTCCAAACTCTAGACCTGAAAGATGGAAACAATATGTAAACGCATGGAAAAGAATAGGAGGTATAATAAATAACATATCAGAAAATTGGCCATGGAGTCTAGAGAATATCAACCTGACAGGTACAAAAGGCACAGAATACAAAATAAGCAAGGCGGTAAAATTCTTAAGATCGAAATCACATACACCAGAATCACACAAATGAAATGCATGAGCTTCAACAATAGGATTGGATGAAAACAAGGTGGATAAACAATAAAAGAAAAGACACCTTCTGGCGCTTCCAACACAGAGCATTACCTCTAGGGTACAGACTAACATATATAATCAAAGATGATAACGGAAAATGTCCAAATTGCCTGAGGGAGATCCAAACACTGGAACATTTTGGAGTTGAATGCAAAATAAGTAAAGAAATTTGGCGAATCGTATATAACTTCTTAAAACAAACACAAC